TTACTGCTGTGGGAATTAATGCTAACAATGTTAGTTTTAATACACTCACTATGGAATCTGATAAATTCATTTGCGTTAGAGAAAAAGTTGGTGACACCGCACAGGTAGTCATCATTGATATGAATGATTCTGCTAATCCGATCAGGAGACCTATTTCTGCAGATTCTGCGATTATGAATCCTGCAAGTAAAGTCATAGCTTTAAAAGGTAAACATTATTTATTACTTCATATATGTATAGATGTTTAAGAATTAGTTGGTTGAGAAAACAAAAATCAATAAATGTTAAGAATAGATTCTGATTGCATTATATAATTATGATCTTTACAAGGTATTTAATTTTGATGACAAAATATGATATTAGAATTATATTTATAATTATTATAATCGATGAAACAAAGAAAAGGAATTATTAGGAAAATAAAAAATTCAATTTTAATGGGAGGATTAATGATACATATTTTATGTTTGTTACGACAGCAATGAAAACACTTCAGATTTTTAACATAGAAATGAAATCGAAAATGAAAGCTCATACAATGACAGAAGATGTAGTCTTCTGGAAATGGATATCATTGAACACATTAGCATTGGTAACAGAAACTGCAGTTTATCATTGGTCGATGGAAGGAGAGTCAACTCCGAATAAAATGTTTGATCGACATTCTTCATTAAATGGTTGTCAAATAATTAACTATAGAACTGATCCAAAACAGACATGGCTCTTATTAATTGGTATTTCTGCTCAGCATAATAGAGTGGTTGGTGCTATGCAGCTTTATTCTGTTGAAAGAAAATGTTCTCAGCCAATTGAGGGACATGCTGCTTCTTTTGCCCAATTTAAAATGGAAGGAAATGCAGAACCAAGTAATTTATTTTGTTTTGCTGTTAGAACACTACAGGGTGCAAAACTTCACATTATTGAAGTAGGTCAACCGCCTTCTGGTAATCATCTGTTTCCAAAGAAAGCAGTAGATGTTTTTTTCCCACCAGAAGCTGGAAATGATTTTCCAGTTGCAATGCAAGTCAGTTCAAAGTATGACGTTATATATTTAATAACAAAATATGGCTATATACATATGTACGATATTGAATCTGCAACATGCATATTTATGAATCGTATATCTGGAGAAACTATTTTTGTCACTGCTCCACATGAAGCATCTGGTGGTATAATAGGAGTAAATCGAAAAGGTCAAGTATTATCAGTCTCTGTTGACGAAGAAAATATAATTCCGTACATAAATGGAGTATTACAAAATCCTGAACTTGCACTGCGAATGGCTGTCAGAAATAATTTGTCAGGAGCTGAAGAATTATTTGTGAGAAAATTTAATATGCTTTTCCAAAATGGCCAGTATGCGGAAGCAGCAAAAGTTGCAGCAAATGCTCCCAAAGGAATATTGCGAACTCCGCAAACAATTCAACGATTCCAGCAGGTATTTCTAATTTGAAGTAAATTAATCCTCTGAAGACAAATGGTTTTCAATGGTCGTGGCAGACGAATGCAGGATCATTTTGACCTATAATAAAGTTTTTAATGCAAATTAGTATTGGAAAAGAAACATATATAAAAACGCATTTTGAACAGCATATACTTTATTTGTTTTTAGTTTTCTGTACATTTAATACATGAAATAAATGTATTTTTTGTATGCTCCTTACAAATAAATTTATTAAACTTTTGTTATTTTATACTATATTTTGTGTCTAAACTAAATACCGTAAGGATGTAGTGTATACGAGCGATAAGAGGTGATATTCGAACGCTATCCTAATACGAAATGCTACCGCATTCCGAGCTGTCTTATCGCTCACGGGTCAAAATGGTCCTGTATTTGTTAATGTATATAACAGAAAAATAACGATTTGTATATATGTATTAGGTACCAACTACACAAGGACAAACATCGCCTCTATTGCAATACTTTGGAATACTTCTAGATCAAGGACAATTAAATAAATATGAATCTTTAGAATTATGTCGTCCTGTGCTCTTGCAAGGACGAAAACAACTTCTTGAGAAATGGTTGAAAGAAGATAAGCTGGAGTGTAGCGAGGAATTGGGAGACTTAGTGAAACAAGCTGATCCAACTTTAGCTCTTAGTGTTTATTTGAGAGCTAATGTTGCCAATAAAGTTATACAATGTTTTGCAGAAACTGGTCAGTTTCAAAAAATTGTACTGTACGCCAAAAAAGTTTCGTACACTCCTGATTATATATTTTTGTTAAGAAATGTCATGAGAATTAATCCTGATCAGGGTGTAGCATTTGCCCAAATGTTAGTTCAAGATGAAGAACCTTTAGCCGACATCAACCAAGTAAGCATTGCAGCAGTGTTTATAGTATTTGTTTACAATATTTATAATTATTATTATTATTTAATTACAATATTTGGAATATTATTTTTTTTTTATAATAATTATGTATTTATAGATTGTGGACATATTTATGGAACAAAATATGGTACAACAATGCACAGCATTTTTGTTAGATGCTCTGAAAAACAATTGGCCAACTGAAGGAGCTTTACAAACACGCCTCTTAGAAATGAATTTAATGTCTGCTCCTCAAGTTGCGGATGCAATTTTGGGAAATCAAATGTTTACTCATTACGATAGAGCTCACATTGCACAATTATGCGAAAAAGCTGGATTACTACAGCGTGCTTTAGAACACTACACTGATTTATATGACATTAAAAGAGCTGTTGTTCATACACATCTACTGTCTCCTGATTGGCTTGTTGGATTTTTTGGAACATTATCTGTTGAAGATTCTTTAGAATGTCTGAAAGCAATGCTGACTGCTAATATACGACAAAATTTACAAATTTGTAT